GTTCCGTTCCGTTCCGTTCCGTTCCATTCCATTCTATTCTATTCTATTCTTCATTCCAGTATCTAATCTAATCTATTCTATTCTTATCCCTTATTCTATTCTATTCTGTTCTGTTCTGTTCTGTTCTGTTCTATTCCATTCCATTCTATTCTATTCTATTCTATTTTACTACATTCTATTCTATTCTATTCTTCATTCCAGTATCTAATCTAATCTATTCTATTCTTATCCCTTATTCTATTCTATTCTATTCTATTCTATTCTATTCTATTCTATTCTATTCTCTAAAGCATAGCCTCGCATGAAAGAGCAAATAATTGCTAATATTTTCAACTCACTTGGCTGCTCATTCTAGGATTTTCCATCACAGGGGGAAGCAACATGCCTTCTCCTGAAAGAGATTCCATGTTCAAAGACCTCATTCCACCAGGTCCCACCATGGAGATCATCCCGTTGCAATCATCTCCAGCATTCCATCTATTGGACTGCATGTAGTTAGGAGTAGCCGGATGTGATCCATAGCTGGGTTGACTTTGGATGCTTGGACGCCTTACTATACGTGTAGGCAAAGCACAGCCACGTTGGAGCTCCATCTCCCCAACACTGTTGGATTCATCATCCCCAAATTCAGCCTTGGATCCAGTCTCTTTCCCTGATAGGTGGAAACTGAAGATACTCCCGTGACTTGGCCTCCGCTTTGATGGGTTTGAAGAAGGCCCACAACCATAGCTGAAGATCTGCAGGGAACAAGGAGGGGAGAAACGAAATGCAACACAATATTGGCATACGTTGGTTTCTATCAGCTAGGGAAGTTCTTCAAATAAATAAATTACTGGTAAAGGAGAATATGAGTTTGGTTGCAGATAGTCCACTAGCACTTGTTGTTAGTTAGTTTGGTAATGAAATGCCTGCAAGAAAACAACCAAGCTCAGAGGGTACCAAGGACCCCACAAATAAAATTACAGACTGCAAAATGCAGCATAAATATGTCTTAGGCTCCCCTTCAATAAATAATGTTATTCATGATTTATTTCTTCAACTTACTTTGGGGACATATCTATAGAGATTCTCAATCATTCAGGTCACGTTTATCCCAATGTTGCTTTTCCAAAAATCAATGGACTTTTTTGATTTTTTCCTTTGAAGACATCTCACTTCTCATCCAAATGACTCTTCTGATCTTCAGTTGAACTGAAGAAGCTTCTTGACTGAGAAGCAAAACATTTTCAAGAAAAAAAAAACAACTGGGAAAGTTCAGTTGCTTTTTAAAAAAGCACTGTTGCAAGAAATGTCCATCAGGGTTCAGTTCCAAGTGGGAAGAAAGACACTGGAAACTTGGAGGCTGCTTGGAAGGATGGTTTAATGGTGAAGCAACACCACCAAGCACGTGTGATTCTGGGTAGATGACCACATGGAAGAGATGGAGAGAGAGAGAGACAGAGGCACAGAGAGAGATTTATACTCTTTCTTGGGCTTTGAATTGGAGCTTCCTGTTCCTGTGACAAGGGCAGGTAGCTTATTGGTTGCTGTAGGGGTCATGTGCAAATCCTAGGAGTTTGTTTGAGATAAGTCTGGTTAAACCGGGGGTTGATTTAATGTCCCCAGGTGATTTCGCAATGCAGCGAGCCCTGCTGTTAGATGGGTAGAGGGCTAATCCTATCATGTCACAAGGGCCATGTTTTAATCCCATCACCTTGGAACTGAAATGGGGAGGAGGGCACGGAACTGCTTTGTTTTTAAAAGCATGTTTCTCCTTTTCTCATCCAGAGAGGTATAATATTCAGCCTTTTTAATATTTCCTATAATATTTCATTGTTCTAGGAGAGGAATGGGTGCTAACTTTCTACAGCACCATTGGCACAACCATGATCTGGATGATTGAGAATCTCCATAGATGCTTTCACAGAAAAAAAAAATCAAGGAAGTCCAATTTCCATTTGGAAAAAACACCTTTAGGATTACTTTGGGGAACATGGCGATGGATAATTTTTTTTTTATTTTATTTTTTACAAAAAACACATATCAGTTTGCACAATATGGTTGGACTACTTTTTTAGGTCACAGAAAAAGATATTGAAAGTCACTTTTTGAAGTAAATTTACCAAAAACTTCCATGCAAGAGTTTTTAGTCAGCAACTAGTGATTACAAATTGCATACTGGAATCAAGTTTTCTCAATCGGTACATTTTCCCCCCCACAATTTAAGCTTCCAGTTTTGCAAGAGCGTTTTTTCAAAAGTTAAAAGGGTATTAGGGATAGTCCTCAAATTACAGCGACAGTTGAGCTGAAAATTTCTGTTGCTAGGTGAAACAGTTGTTAAGGGAGTTTTACCCTATTGTACAACCTTCTTTGCCACAGTTGTTTAGTGAATCACTGCAGTTGTTAAGTTAGCAATGTGATTGTTAAGTGAATCTGGCTCCCCTATGGACTTTGCCTGTCAGAAGGTCACAAAAGAGGACCACATGATCCTGGGACACTGTGACCGCCATAAACATGAATCACTTGCCACACATCTCAGTTTTGATCACATGACCAAGGGGATTCTGCAACAGTCATAAGTGTGAAAAATGATCATAAGTCACTTTTTTCAGTGCCGTTTTAAGTTCGAACAGTCACTAAATGAACTGTTGTTAAGTTGAGGACTACCTGTATCGTATATAAGCAAAACCTAACGCTAATGTACTGTTTTCCGATGGCTGTCATTTGATGCTGGCCCCGAATCTTCCATTCCTAAGGACAGTTTCTTCCTTCGGTTGCTTCGTTCTTTGTCTTCCTTGGATGCTGGAGACACTTCAAAGGAGCTAAGAGACATGCTGTCATTTTCTTTGGCATTTAATTCCTAGATTGTAGAAAGAGTGAAAGGGAACTATGTAATTCTATTTTCACATACATTTTTTAAAGATCACTATTTATACCGATAACTTCCCAGTTACAGCTGCTGGTTTACCTTGCCTGTCTAAAAGACTCCCAAAGTCATTGTAGTCTTTTCTCAATTGTAAAATGTTTAATATTCTTCTTTTAGGACTGCAGAAAAAAACAATTACTACTAACCTGCCTTCCATGGAGGACCTATATACTGCACGAGTCAAAAAGAGGGCTGTGAAAATATCTACAGATCCCTCACATCCCGGACATAAACTGTTTCAACTTCTACCCTCAAACAATGTTATAGGGCACTGCACACCAGAACAACTAGACACAAGGACAGTTTTGTCACAAATGCCATCACTCTGCTAAACAAATAATTCCCTCAGCACTGTCCAACTATTTACTAAGTCTGCATTACTATCACTATTAATCTTCTCATCCCTCCTTATCACCCATCCCCTCCCACTTGTGACTGTATGGCTGTAACTTTGTCGCTTGTATCCTTACAATATTTTTTATTGACTGTTTCCTAGTATGATTTGATTGCTTATTGTACTCTATGACTATTAAGCTGATTGCTTATTGTACCCTATGACTATTATTAAGTATTATTACCTTATGATTCTTGATTCTTGATGGATGTATCTTTTCTTTTTATGTACACTGAGAGCATTTGCACCAAGACAAATTCCTTGTGAGTCCAATCACACTTGGCCAATAAAGAATTCTATTCTATTCTATTTTAAAAATATATCTGGTATATTGTTGCAAATCCAAACCAGATAACCTTCAAAAGCATAACAGAACAGTAGTTCTCCATCTCCTTCCCTAGCATTGTCTCCAAATATATTCATTTATTTGAAATTTTCATCCTATCTTTCCTACAGGAAGTTCCAGGCCATATACAAAATGTTCCTTCCTTGCTAATCTGAGCCACTTCCTTCTTTTTTTTTTTTCTGGCACACATAGATATGGTATATATTCTTGGTCTCACTTTCTCGTAAGGTAGGCTCTAGATTTTGCTACCTCTATCAGAATTTCCTATAAATAAATCTCCTTTCTGTTGTAGACACCAAACTTACTTTAACTAGTCAAGCCAGATGGTCTTATAAAAGTGTTGCATAAGAATCATGGAGGCTCAGTGGTCAAAATGCATATTGCAGGCAACTCTGCATTCCTACTGCCTGGAGTTCAATCCTGACCATCTCAAGGCTGACTCAACCTTCCAATCTTTCTGAGGTCGGTAAAATGAGATTGTTGGGGGCAATAGGCTAACTCTGTAAAAACCGCTTAGAGAGGGCTGTAAAGAAGCTAGGAAGCGGTATACAAATCTAAGCGCTATTGCTATCATTGCTATACAAGCCCAGGGGAGCCTGCAAACAGAGGAGGGTAGAGATCATTTAAAAAGTCAACATGGCAGCCATGAACATACAATTGAAGCCCCTCCCTATTTTCTGCATATCATGAAACATGTAAAAATGGGATTACATGTTTGTAACCAACATCTTAACTTTTTGGACCTTCTCTGCGCAGGTTTATCTTGTCTGACACAAGCAGAGAGTTGTAATGACACGATGTTCTTTTAGTCGTTTTAATGAAAGCAACCAGACTTGTAGGCACCTCTTGTTCTTTTTTTAGCATTTCCATGGTTTCTCGAAATTTTCTCTCTTTGGCCTCTGTTTCAGCAATAGTGGCCTTGCTCTGTTCTTCATAAGCCATGGTGACCACAGCTAGGATTAGATTGACCAGATAAAACGAGCCCAGAAAAATGACCAGCACGAAAAACAGCATGTAGATCTTCCCAGATACTCTTAGTGTCTGAAATTAGAAGAATATATTAACCAACTGTGAGAAGTTTTATATCAAACTATATTATTCTTTATACTGTTTCTATCTTCCCTTAAAACATTAACAGAATCTAGTATGGTCTGAGAACCAGCATCTCCACTAGGTAATTGACAATCAAGCTGAAAGAAGTAAAAAATAGCAAATGGAGAGAAATCCTTTACCCAAACTTCCTCAAGACCAAATCTTTTCTTAAAAACCTCCAGTGATGGAGTACCAGAGGTGGAATTCAGCAGGTTCTGATGGTTCTGGAGAACCAGTAGCAGAAATTTTGAGTAGTTCGGAGAACCGGCAAATACCACCTCTGACTGGCCCTGCCCCCATCTATTCTCTGCCTCCCATTGAGTCCCAGCTCATCGGCTGGGTCTTCTTTTGTTGCCCTGGACAGGAGAATGGAGCTGGAAAGCAGGTTAGTGGGGTGGGGAGGGAGGGAGGATTTTGCAGTAACCTTCCCCTGCCATGCTCACTGCCACGCCCACCAACCTACGTCACACCCACCAAGCCAGATCCACAGAACCAGGAGTAAAAAAAAAAATTTGAATCCCACCACTGTGGAGCACCTGCAATTTCTGGAGGAAAGCCATTCTGCTGATTGGTTGGTCTCACTGTCAGGAAATCTCTCCTTAATTCTAGGTTGGATTTCTCTTTCCAGCTCTTACTTCTTGTCCTGCCCTCAGGCGCTTCAATTTCAACCATTCCCTCCCAGTTATTCCTACTCTAGAGCTGTGTGGTATTATATCAGTGGAAACACACACTCTGCTAAGGGGTCTAATCGTTTTGATAAATGTGCAATCAAGATTTATAGTGGATTGAGAAATCAGCAATCTGGGAATCTTTTTTAATATTGGGGATTAAATGTTATAATTAACATCTTGAAATAACAATGGCTGGAGAGACATTAATAAAGTTTTAGCCCCTTTATTCAATCAGAATAGGAATAGGATTAGCTCTATAGGCCCTGCTGTACTGTCTCAGCATTGGGGGCAGTAGGACACTGAACATCAAGGAATACAGTGCGTGAAGATTATATTCTCTACAGGATCCTTATCCAAGATGCAAAGTTTATTCTAGTTACCCAGCTAAAGCAAGCAAGCAATTATATTTGTACATCTCTCTCTAAGGGAGATGGGTGGGTTTTAAATTTTGATAATAAATATTGGGTAGCAGAGATATTGGAAGATGCTGAAGGCAAAGATTGATTTTATTCAATCAGAATTGAGCTGGAAGGGACTTTGGAGGTCTTCTAGTCCAACCCCTGCTGAAGCAGTAGTCTCTATACCATTTCAGACAAGTGGTTGTCTTGTCTTTAAAAACCTCCAGTGATGAAGCAGCTACAATTTCTGGAGTCAATTACTTCCACTGGTTCATTGTTGTCACTGTCAGGAAATTTCTCCTTAGTTCTAAGTTGCTTCTCTCCTTGATTAGTTTCCATCTGTTGCTTCTTGTCCTGCCTTTAGGTGCTTTGGAAAATAAGTTTGTCCCTTCTTCTTTGTGGCAGCCCCTTAAACATTAGAACATGTCACCCCTAGTCCTTTTCTCTCTCTCTAGAATGTCCATATCTAATTCCTGCAACGGTTCTTCATATGTTACTGACAGTGGCCAAGGGATCATTTAATGTTGCATGGGAGAAGACAAAGGGCCAGCCCTTCTGCATTTTGCTAAGAAAGCCACATGGCTGGACAAGCAAAGGGTGTGACAATAGGAAGTCACTTGATTAGGTCAACTGGGTTAAACTGTGGATCAACCTCAGGAAAACGGCAACCTAGAAAGTCTCGTTGTCCTTATGAAAATGTGTATGTTGCTCAGGAAGACACAATATGAGAAAAACACGGTGAAACAGACTGGTTCTTTTTCAGCACAGAAAAGGGTGTACATTCCTCAGTTGAATGGGATAATAAAGATAAATGAATATTTCAGCTGGATCAGATCATGCATTCTCTCCCAGCAGTGTAATGTGCTGTGCATTGTTGGTAGCCTATGGTACTTTAACAAAACACTTCTGGAGTATTTCTGAGTGGAGGGGGGTTGGTTTTGTACAAGAACTCTGGATTAAATTCATTTGTTCTACTTATTTTAGGCCATTTTTTCCATTTCAAAAGTCCCTCGGTTGTCTTATGGCCTGTCAGTCTTACAGGGTTGCTGTTACTGTGAGAGAGAAAAATTGAGAAAGGAATGCTATATTCACTGTCTTGTGATAGATGAATGAATGAATGAACGAATGAATGAATGAATGAATGAATGAACCAACCGACCGACCGACCAACCAACCAACCAACCAACCAACCAACCAACCAACCAACCAACCAGTATGGTCTTGTGTTTAAGGCACTAGGCTAGAAATCAGAGATGGTAAGTTCTAGTCCTGCCTTAGGCACAAAAGTCAACTGGGTGATTTTGGGCCAATCACCAGGAGATGGTGAGTTCTAGTTTCACCTTAGGCATGAAAACTCGCTTGGTAACTTTCAACCAATCCCCAGGAGAAGGTGAGTTCTAATCCTGCCTCAGGCACAAAAGTCAGCTGTGTGATTTTGGTCCAATCACTCTGTCTCAACCCAACCCACCTCACAGGGTTGTTGTTGTTGGGAAAATAGGAAGAAGAAGGAGATATATTCCCTTCTTGGGGTTGTTTATAAAAATAATAATAAAGCTGATATGTAAATAAATAAAATGACTTTGGGATGATTAATTACAGCTTTGTAGCCCTGCCTGGTGAACGGATGACAAATGGCTGGGCCTATTGATTAATGCCCTGTTCCTTAAGCGGAGAGGTAAGTCCACCCATCTCTTTTGCGACACCCCAAATCTGTAGGCAGTCTAACAGTAGGACTGACCCAAGCTATCCTACATCTTGACCAACTTGAGGTGTTCAAAGTCAGGGATACCAAAAACTGTGCAATGAACATCAGATTATATGTAGAATCTTTGCTCAACATTCTGTCAACTAAAAAGAGACTCCTTTGGTCTTTTTAGCTACCAGAAAAAGGGAGTGGGGGAAAACAAGGCATTCTTGAAATGCCTAGATAACCAACTCAGTAACCCAAAATTGTTGGAGCATAAGAAGGTTGTTGGAGAGCATGATGGATGACTCTTGGAAACTGATGTGTCCTATTGGAGAAGTCACATCCAGGGTGTGGGGGAAAGACCAGGGTCAAGGGGGAAATGTATGATGTGATTTAGTATTGGCTGCACCCAGCCACGCACCAACATGGCAATTTCTAATAAACCAATTTACTTTTTCTGAGATGCGGCTAGAGAATGAGAGGGGGATTTGTTGGAGCCCTGACACATTCTTTCTAAGACTCCAAAATAAGAGGAACTGGGCAAAAGTACAAGTTGTAGACCCCAAACATTTTTTTCCATTAAAATTTTCAGAGTATTTCCCACAATTTAACATTGCCTACATGCCTATCCACTTCTCAAGCTGCAGGGATCCCTCTAATCTGTGGGAGATTCCCAAGCATGGATCCATTGACTCCACGTAGTTTAATCTGTTTATCATCATTCCCAGGATGAGATCAGACTGGGGAAAAGAGTTTTCAGCTTGTGGCGTGAACCTAGTGGCACTTCAGGCTGCAGGAGGTCATCATAATTAAAATTACTTCCCTGTGCTAAAAATATTCATGCTGCCATCTTTAGTTACTTTAGGATGCTTGGGGGACCAAAGACAGGATGTAAACATTTTATTAAATCAGTAAATAAACTCTGCAATCAGGTCAAAAAAAGAACAAACACCAGCAGCCAAGCAGGGAACTAAGCAATAGGTTTTTATCAGGCAGAATAGTTGTGTGCGTGGAGAGAGCTTTGTATGAGTAAATGCCTATGGAGATTCTCAATCATCAAGGTCATGGTTGTCCCAGAGATGCTTTTCCAAAAGACCACACCTAGAATACTGCATCCAGTTTGGGTCACCACACTATAAAAAAAGATGTTGAGACTCCAGAAAGAGTGCAGAGAAGAGCAACCAGGATGATTAGGGGACAGGAGACTAAAACATATGAAGAACGGTTACAGGGACTGGGCATGGATAGTCTAGTGAAGAGAAGGACCAGGGGAGACAAGATAGCAGTCTTCCAATATTTGAGGGGCTGCCACAGAAATGAAGGGGTCAAGCTATTTTCCAAGGCACCCGAAGGTCAGACAAGGAATAATGGATGGAAACTGAACAAGGAGAGATTTAATCTGGAAATAAGGAGGAATTTTCTGACAGTGAGCACAATCAACCAAGGGAACAGAAGTTGCCTTCGGAAGTTGTGGGAGCGCCATCACTGGAAGCTTTCAAGATGAAACTGGACTGCCATCTGTCATAAATAATGTAGGGTCTCCTGCTTGGGTGAGGGTAGATGACTCTGTTATAAATCTAAATCTAAAAGGAACTGGACTTTCCTGTTGTTGTTTTTCCTTGAAAACAGGCCTCTCAGCAGTCCCAAGGAGGTTCCACATCCATTTGCACTGTGATTCAGATGACTCTGAGGATACAGGTGGCCTTAATGACTCTCAGAGTGCAAATAACCACATGGCTGCAAAGAAAATGAATTTTTCTAATTTTCTACCAGAACTGAAAGAACCTTCTTGAATGAGAAGTGAAACCTTTTCAAGGAAAAAGAAGAAGAAATTCCAGTTGCCTCCTGGAAAAGCACATTGGCGACTTTGCGTGCTGCAAAGCAACTTCAGCAAGCTGCGGAAAACTAAAACAAGAGCTACATACACACCTGTTGGTAGAGGCGTTCCCAGTAATCTTGCGTCATGAGGCGAAACAAGGAGAGGAAAGCCCAACCAAAAGTATCAAAGCTGGTGAAGCCAAAATCAGGATTATCTCCGACTTTCAGGCACACGTATTGTGGTGGGCAGGACCTTTAAAAAGACAGTGTTCTCACTTAAACCAGAGTGCAGGTAGTCCTCACTTAATGACTGTAATTGGGACCAGCAAGTCTATCTCTAAGTCTATCTCTAAGGTCATTAAGAGATTAGTCTGCTTGTAACAATGGCAGTTCTGACAACACCCAATTGCTGTTGTTCAATGAATCCCATGTGGTCGTTAAGTGAGGACCTACAGGGATCCAAGCTATTTCTGGAAAATGCCTCCAGTTCCATTCCCCTCCCCCCCATCAAAGTTACCCTAAATGTGAAGTCACACCAGCTAAGAAAAAAAAACCTGCTAACTGAACTTCCTAAGTGAAAATAATGTATTTTGCTATAAATGTTTTTTTATGTTCTTGTTTATGCATGTATAGCCCATGGGATACTGCGAAAGTCTTCATCTGCTCAACTTTTGATTCACTAGATTTGACTTTTATTTTATTTTATTTAGTTTAGATTGTCAAGCATGTATGAGAAAACAAGTATAAGTATGAACATAACATATAAACATATAAGTATAAACAGGTATAAGTATATCCATAATAAATGAATATGAATAAATGGGAACAGTGGGACAGGGACGGTAGACATGCTGGCGCGCTTATGCACGCCTCCTTACAGACCTCTTAGGAATGGAGTGAGGTCCACGGTAGACAGTTTAAGGTTAAAGTTTTTGGGGCTTGAGGATGTAACAGCGAAGTCAGGCAGGGAATTCCAGGCATTGACCATTCTGTTGCTGAAGTCGTATTTTCTGCAATCGAATTTGGTGCAGTTTACTTTGAGTTTGTATCTATTGTTTGCCCATGTGTTATTGCGGTGGAAGCTGAAGTACTCATTGACACGTAGGATGTTGTAGCAGACAATTTTGTGTACTAAGCTTAGAACAGACCATATGGGGTGTAGTTCTAGTTTGTCTAGGTCCAATATTTCAAGCCTGGTGGCTTAAGGTATTCTATTGCAAGCTAAGGAGTTGAGTACTCTTCTCGTGAAATACCTCTGGACTCGCTCAATTGTATTAATGTCTGTTATACAGTGTGGATAAGTACCTTTTTTTGTATTTACGTAAGTAAGCGTTTTGGCTTTGAGGCCTATGGGGGAAGATGCTAGTCCTCATATTTCTCTTACAACCCTTTGAATTAGAGACTCCTATGTAGGATGGCTTTCAGCACCAAACTAAAGGTGGGAAGGTAGTTTGTTTGGGAAGTTAAAACTTACATCATCTAGGATTTTAAGATTTACTTTTTCCTGGCTTTCCTGACTATTGTAATCAGCAGTTTTATTTGTCCTTTCTTGGTATTTTATTTTTTTCATTGTTAACTGCTCTCTCGTCATGGTCCAATTGCAGAATTCAAATTTAATGAGTACGGGGTAGTCCTCGATTTACACCCATTCATTTAGTTAGTAACCAATCAAAGTTACAACAGCATTGAAAAAAAAGTGACTTATGCCTATTTTTCATTCTTACGACCATTATGTGATGACCTGGGGCATGGCACAAAGGCAACACATACATAAGTAAGAAAAGTCCCTTTAATACCTCCAACTTTGCCCCAATGTCCAGGTTACCTTCGGCTGGAGAAAAAACTCTTCCCAAAAGAGTCTTTAAGTGGAGGAAATTCAGTCCGAAAGCAAAGTACATATAAACTGTAAATAAAAATCCACACAAACCACGCTGCAGCACTTAACTGGACAGGGCAGGATAAGGAATTGCAGACTTCAAAGGCCAACAAATCACACACAGTTGGGAAAACGCCAGGAACTCAGATAAGCCTCGACAATAAAAGATAACTCACAATTTGCTTCCAACAACTTTGCTGTGTGTAGCTTCCCTTTTTAAAAACTGTGTTCCCAGCTGCAGCTAATGAAGAGAATCAGGGCCCTTTCCTTCCCCATAAGCCACGCAACTCAAGTTGCTCCCTTCTCCATTCCTCCCTGCGTGCCCTAGGATTAAGAGGGGCTGGACCGGGGTCTTCCTTTGAATTCCCTCTCCCTTGCTCTACCTCTTCTCTGCTCTGCCCAGCTGGACTTTGCCCTTCCTTAGTTTCTTCCACAGCCAACACCCTCCAAATCAGATTCCGACAGGGGCATGACACATTGCAGCCATCCCCATTATCACATGATCAAAATTCAGATGCTTGGCAATTGATATGTATTTATGATGGTCGCCATGTCTCCCGGGGTCATGTGATCCCCTTTTACAACCCTCCAAGAAGCAAAGTCAATGGGGAAGCCCAGATTCACTTAACAACCCTGTGATGAACTCAACAGCGGAGTGATTCACTTAACAAAGGTGGCAAGACAGGTCATAAAACAGAACATCACTCACTTAACAGCTGTTTTTGCTTAGCAATGGAAATTTTGTGCTCAGCTGCGGTCATAGGACGAGGACTGCCTGTGGCCACAGCAGGAGCAATAGGGGAAAAAAATTCTCCAGATTCTTATCCTGTTGAAATGCAGCCTCTGTCAGCCATCCGGAGCTTTTCAATCAAGGGGGAAATTTTCAAATGGGCAAATAACAGCTCGAGCCACTTACCCTCCATCTGAACCATTGCGACACAGCAAAAAGTCTTCAGTGCCATTTTTCAATTGGTAATTTTCTGCAAAATCAGAAAGACCAGCTCTATCAATAATAAATAACAGCTCCTTGGGCACATAGTTTTTGATCGTCAAAACAATAGGATCAAACAAATCAGCCCTGTTTCCCCAAACTTTCTTCCATTCCATCTCTTCTGAAGCATCTTTCTCTTAATATTCAGTCAAAAACACATCTTTGTCCCTCTTTCTTGCATATGTTACATTTTTAAATCCGAAATCACTAATGTGCATTTATGCAGGAATCAGGGGTGGGATTCAACCGGTGTTACGATCGGTTCAGTGACTACGTTTTGCTTTGCGCACATGTGCGTCAGATTCACGTTGCGCGCATGTGTAAAAAAACCTTTAGCTGTGCCGCCTGGACAGCTGAAAAGTGCTGCGCGCAGGTGCACAGCATTTGAAAAGTCTCTTTTTTTTCCTGCTTTTTCAACCTCAGCTGTGCCGCGCAAAGCAGCTGAGGTTGAAAAAGCAGGAAATAAAGGACAGGTAAGAGTCTGGGTGGGCAGGTAGGCCAAACAGCAGCAAACAGAGAACCGGTTCGGTGTCTGTTCCTCTTCAGAGCTACCGGTTCTATAGAGCTGGGCAGAACCAGTAGCATCCCACCCCTGGCAGGAATGTAGTTTTCAGCAGCATGCTCTGAATGAAACCCTTTTTTTCCTTAAGAACAAGTACATCATTTTAAATAAAAAGAGTAAGACAGCCTCCAGCCAATCTCCCTACATCCTGAAGTTTTCTAAGTCCCAAATATGGGATTGAATCCTTACTGTCTCATTCATAGAATAGAATGTAGTAAAATAGAATGGAATGGAATGGAATGGAATGGAATGGAATAGAATAGAATAGAATAGAATAGAATAGAATAGAATAGAATAGAATAGAATAGAATAGAATAGAATAGAATGGAGTAGAGTAGAATAGAGTAGAATAGAATAGAATAGAATAGAATAGAATAGAATAGAATAGAATAGAATAGAATAGAATAGAATAGAATAGAATAGAATAGAATAGAATAGAATGTAGTAAAATAGAATAGAATGGAATGGAATGGAGTAGAGTAGAATAGAGTAGAATAGAATAGAATAGAATAGAATAGAATAGAATAGAATAGAATAGAATAGAATAGAATAGAATAGAATGGAGTAGAGTAGAATAGAGTAGAATAGAATAGAATAGAATAGAATAGAATAGAATAGAATAGAATAGAATAGAATAGAATAGAATAGAATAGAATAGAATAGAATAGAATAGAATTCCTTATTGGCCAAGTGTGATTGGACACACAAGGAATTTGTCTTGGTGCAAATGCTCTCAGTGTACATAAAAAGAAAAGATACATTTGTCAAGAGTTGAGAATCGTCAGGTACAACACTTAATAATAGTAATAGGGTATAATAAGCAATCAAATCTTACTAGGAAACAGTTCTAGGATATTTCCCCTCCCCACTTTCCTTACATAGCCCAAAGAGGAGGCCGAAATATGCAATGAATTAATCTTAATGGCAGGTGCTGAGGTATCTTACCTTTAGAGTTGATGAAAATCTCATAAGAAATGTTACTTATGCTCTGATTGATAAATTCCGTATAGTTCCTGACACATTTCTGTTTCAGATGTCCCTTGAAGAGTTGGAGGCCAATGAGGGCGAAGACGCTCAAGCAGAAAACAGTCAAGATCATCACGTCTGTGAGTTTCTTCACCGACTGGATCAAAGCTCCAACAATGACCTTCAGGCCTTCAGAGAATGAAAGAAAGGCCAAGATCGTAAGAACTGGAGAACATCAGTGCTAGTGACGTGGCCTAGTTTGGGTAATGAAACAAGAAAGCAAGAAAGCAACCAAGCCCGCAGGACCCCTCAGGCCTGGACCCCTTTAATCTCAGTATAAAACAGATGTTGAGACTAGAGGTGGGATTCAATTTTTTTTTACTACCGGTTCTGTGGACGTGGCTTGGTGGGCGTGGCAGGGGGAGGATACTGTAAAATCTCCACTCAGAGGTGGGATTTGCCAAATCTCCGAATTACTCAAAATTTCCGCTACTGGTTCTCCAGAACTGGTCAGAACCTGCTGAATACCCACCTCTGGTTGAGACTCTAGAAACAGTGCAGTGAAGAGAAACAAAGATGATAAAGGGGCTGGAGGCAAAAACATATGAAGAATGGTTGCAGCAATTGGGTATGTCTAGTCCAGGGGTGTCAAACTCGATTTCATTGAGGGCCGCATCAGGGTTGTGCATGACCAACCATGGAGGGCGTGACCAAGGTGGGCACGGCCAGCTCAAAGTCACTGATGTTGGGGAGCTCCTGTGATGGCCAAGTGCTAAGGCAGGACTCTCCCTCACTCTCATTATAATCTCCTTTCTTCCTTCCTTTTCTTCTTTTTTCTTTTCTTGCTCTCTTCCCACCTTTCCTTTTTCCTTTGCCTTTCCTCTTTCCCTTCCTCCTTTCCTGTCCCTTCTTGCATGCTCAAATGCAAAAGGGGAAACATTTTTCCCCCTTTTGTTTTGTTTTTAGTCTGTTTTGCTAGCCCTCTGCCAGTGCTGCTTCATAGACCAGATCTAAGCACCCCACGGGTTGGATCTGGCCCACAGGCCTTGAGTTGGATACCCTGGTCTAGTCTATTGACAAGAAGGACCAGGGGAGACATGATAGCAGTGTTCCAATAGCTCAAGAGCTACCACAAAGAAGAGGGGGTGGTCACCCTATTCTTCAAAGCGCCCAAAGACAGGACAAGAAGCAATGGTTGGAAACTAATCAAGGAGAGAAGTAATCTAGAACTAAGGAGACATTTCCTGACAGAGCAATTAATTATCTTCAGGAGTTGTGGGTGCTCCAACACTGGAGCTTTTTAAGAAGAGATTGAATAACTATTTGTATGAAATGGTATAGCATATAATACTTGAGCTGGGGGGTTGGACTAGAAGACCTCCAAGGTCCCTCCCAACTCTTGATATTTTGTTATTCTTATCACCATGAGAAATTATTCCAAAAATTTCATACCTGGGACAATGGAAATGGTTTTCAAAGCCCTCAACACTCGGAACATCCGAAGAACAGAGACATTTCCCAGTTCAATAAACTCTCCTATATACCTGTAACATCAACATAGGGTAAATGTCAGTGTTAGGGTCCACTCTGCCTCTGGAAGAGGGGGTTGATTCTGGCTTTGCTTAAACCCCCATTAAACATCACCAGTCAGTGGGAAGAAACATCTATCAGGAATTGAGCAGATTCAATCTCTGCCTAGTCCAGCAACAAAATTATTGTTATTATTGTGGTCTGTCACAAAACCAGATGTTCAGACTGGGTTGGGCATTTTTTATCAATCTATTGAGTTCTTCCCAAGGACCTTGGATAGGCAGATGCTGTCATTTAATAATATTAAACTTAACATTGTAGGATGTAAATTGTTCCACATAAAACTGCCTATTGCCATTGTTATTAAATGCCCTTGCTGCCTACCTTGTCATGAGACTATGTTAGGTGGCAAAAATGGTTATTAAAGCATTCTGGACTGGTATTTTTGCAAAATAAATAAGTGCAAATGTGATATATGCAGATCAATGCAAAAAAAAATAGACACAAATGGAAAGTTTGACATCTGGGGATTAATTGTTCATGGAGAACTTCAAGCTTCTTCCTCAAAGGTGCCTACAGGAGAAGCTTCAAGAACATCAGGAATAGCCGACACTCCAGAAGACGGGCTTAAGATACAGAAGGATCTTGGCAGACTCAAACATTGGGCGCTATCTAACAAAATGAAATTTAATGATGAAAAAATTTAGGTTCTACATTTAGGCAAGAAAAATCAAATGCACAGGTACAGTATAGGTGGTACTTGGCTCAGTAATAGTAACTGTGAGAGGGATCTCGAAGTCCTAGTGGACAACCATTTAAATATGAGCCAGCAGTGTGCAGCAGCTGCCAAAAAAAGCCAACACAGTTCTAGGCTAGAATCAAGATCATGTGAAGTGTTAATAGGGATAGACATGTAAAGTGTTAATACCACTTTATAATGCCTTAATAAGGCCATTCTTGGAATACTGCATCCAGTTTTGGTTGCCACGATGTAAAAAAGATGTTGAGACTCTAGAAAGAGTGCAGAGAAGAGCAAGAAAGAGGACTTAGGAGACTGGAGGCTAAAACATATGAAGAACGGTTGCAGGAACTGGGGATGTCTAGTCTAGTGAAAAGAAGGACCAGGGGAGGCATGATAGCGGTGTTCCAATATCTGAGGGGCTGCCCCAAAGAAGAGGGAGTCAAGCTATTTTCCAAAGCCCCTGAGGGCAGGACAAGAAGCAAAGGGTGGAAACTAATCAAGAAGAGAAGCAATCTAGAACCACCAAGGAGAAATTTCCTGACAGAACAATTAATCAGTGGATTCATTCACATTAATTCACAACTTGCCTCCAGAAGTTGTGAATGCTCCAACACTGTAAGTTTTTAAAAAGATGTTGGAAGTGGCAGGGGAAGGATACTGTAAAATCTCCATTCAATTGGAGTAACTGCCGGAACCCTGACACCCCACTCCTGGGGGAAGGTTACTGCAAAAATCCCCATTCCCTCCTCACCCCACTAACCTGCTTTCCAGCTCCGTTCTCCTGTGCAGGGCAACAAAAGGAGACCCAGCCGATCACCTGGTACTCGATGGGAGGCAGAGAATAGATGGGGGCGGGGCCAGTCAGAAGCGGTATTGGCCGGTTCTCTGAACTACTCAAAATTTCCACTACTGGTTCTCCAGAACTGGTCAGAACCGGCTGAATACCCACTTCTGTGCAATAGGCTGACTCTGTAAACTGCTTTAGAGAGGGCTATAAACCACTATAAGTGGCATATAAGTCTAAGTGTTAAGTGCTGGTGCTATGAGTTCTTGGATCAGGTAGAGAAGGCAGTTCCTCCTTCTCATTACTAACCAGCTGCATCTGCATGCTTTCCCCACCTGAAGCCTCACGACTGTCCTGCTGTGGCTATGCTTCAGCCAAGTCCCTCTCAGCCGGCCGTTTGACCAACTCCCCTCCAGAGTGCCTGGGACTGGTTCACCTTCCTCCAAATTAAATTCCTTTACTCTTTTAAACTCCTTTACAAACTCCTTTACCCTTATTGACCTCACCCCATTACTAAGAGGTCTGTAAGGGGCATGCGTAAATGCACCATCGTGCCTACCAGCCCCTGTTCTACTGTCCCCATTTATTCGTACCTATTTCCTGTATTCATATTCATGTTTATTCTTATACCTATTATCTTTTAAGCGATTGACAAATCAAATAAATAAATGAATTGACACCTGGAGAAGCTTCCAGGGGAATCACCTCTTACACACACATACATATTATCCCTATTTCCAAGTCTTGGTAGCATTTTTAAAGAGAGAATTCCTCCCCGCCTTTCAAACATGATCATTCTCTGTACGACAAGACATAGGAAGGGCCTCATAATTTGTGGCCTGTAATTGCCTCTTTGGTTTCCTTTCAGGAGGGTTTATGGGCTTAAAATGTGATGCTTCTTGTCAGAAAATTCAAAATATTGATCCATTTGTCTCCATTCAGGCTTGGGAACATTTGCTTGATTCACTTAAGAATTGCAATGATTAGATTAATAACTAAGTAGAAAAAAAAGACCATAAAATTGGGGGCAATTCACTTAACAATTGTGTTGCTTAGCAATTGAAATTCTGTGCCAATTATGGTCATAAATCAAGGATGGCCTGTATTTCTTCATTCCCCCCTACCAACTGATAAACCCCTTCATGCATTATGAAAATTTTTGCCTAATTCTGCAAAACAAGTACAGGCAGGAAAAATTTACTTTTTCACAGAAACACTTTTTTATTTTTTCTTATTTTATACTGTATATCTATATATATATATCTATATATATATATATCTATATATATATATATTTATCTATATATAAAAAAAAAAAAAAAAAAAAAAAAAAAAAAAAAAAAAAAAAAAAAAATATATACATTTATTTACCTATTTAACTATTAACTTCATTTTTTACAGCATTGTTTGCAATGTCAGTAAAAAGACTGATACTACAAGTCACTCATCTCTGTTTTTCTTCAGTTAAGAAGATGAATATGTTTGATGAAGGTTGAGAACCCAAAAACGCATTAATTTTTCAAGTCAGACTTTTGGAATCTGCTTCTAGACAATTATTCTGGGACTACAGGCCCCATCCTCCCCTACTAACATTCGTGCAAAGTATTTAAAGGCACTATATTATTATAACTGAACCAAGAAATATATCCTCTGATCCATCGGCAGCTTGGGGACAAAGTGAAAGATTTAACTCAATATTTCTTTATACAGTATTAAAAGCACCGTATATACAGCATTAAGAGTTTTCCTGGCTAATTGTTTGATAAACCATGTTGTTAATTTTGTTGTTATAATATTTTTTTCAGCAGCATTGTTATTATACTAGTAATGGTATCTCGGTATTCATCCTTAATTGGTTCCGGGAGGCATGATGAGTAACAAAAATCAGCAAGTACCAAAAAACAGCAAATATCAAATGATTTTTTTTCCCATAAGGAAAAAGGTATTGAGTCATAAAGCAGCCAACACTGACAAGTTCTAGCTTATGCTTGAATACCAAACAAACAATTAATACTGGGACAAAATGTTCATGTCAAAATGTGTGGAGTACCAAATTCTGTGAATCTCAAAGTTGTTGAGTACCAAGGTCATCACTACTTTATTTTGTACTTTTTCCTCTATTTTATTCTACCATTTTTTGTATCTTTATAATGTAGGAAATAAATATAAGCTGCTCAGATACCAGTATTTGGGCTGGAAGGATAATGAAGGGCCATCGAACAAACGAACAATAAATACATACTGTAATTCCTTGAAAAAAAATTAAGGAGGCCCACTTGCTCTTTAGTTATAGGTTGATCAAAGGAGAAAGGGGGCACTTACGCCATCACGATGACACTGAAATCCAGCCAGTTCCATGGGTCGCGGAGGAAAGTGAACTCATTCAAACAGAACCCTCTCGCCAGAATCTTGATTAGACATTCAAAAGTATAAATTCCAGTGAAAGTATACCTGAGTAGGGGACAAACACAGTGGTGGGATTCAAAATTTTTTACTACTGGTTCTGTGGGCATGGCTTGGTGAGCATGGCATGGCTTGGTGGGCATGGCTTGGTGGGCATGGCAAGGGAAGGATACTGCAAAATCCCATTCCCTCCCCACCCCACTAACCTGCTTTCCAGCTCCATTCTCCATCCTGTGCAGGGCAACTAAAGAAGACGCAGATGATCAGCTGGGACTTGGGAGGCAGAGAATAGATGGGGGCAGGGCTATTCAGAGGTGGTATTTGCCGGTTCTCCAAACTACTCAAAATTTCCGCTACCAGTTCTCCAGAACTGGTCAGAACCTGCTGAATACCACCTCTGGACAAACAGGTCAACAAAAGTCAGGGTCAGCAGATTTTCAGACATTGGATGCCAATATAATAGCCTGCCCCTGCCACTATGAAAATTTTGGGTGAGAATGCAAGATCCCACCTTGGATCTTGGAAGAATTCACCTGGAAATTTAAGGTTTCAGGTAGTCCTCAATTTATGACCATTCATTCAGCAATCCTTGGGTGATCGGAAGCATTACTTCCACACACACCATGGCCTTCTACTCCCTGAGACACATTGTGCATTTAATTACTCACATATTCGATTAGTGAATACATAGGCAAAAGCAGGGAGTGATCACATTCAAGTTATGTGATTCACTCCTAACAAATCCTCAGGTTACAAATGGCATTGGCAGGCCCCATTATATTCGTAACTTGAGGATTACCTTTTTGTTGTCTCATTGGCTCAATGTTGACTCAGCCCTCCATCCTTCCAAGGTGGGTAAAATGAGGACCCAGATTGTTGGAGGCAATAGGTTGACTGTAAACCACTTAGAGAGGGCTGTAAAAGCACTAAGAAGAGATATATAAGTCTAAGTGCTATTGGGCTTCCGGTTTGAGCTTCTTCAGCAACAGACAGAAATCCACAAGTGTGCGTGGTTTCGGTCTGGGCTCGCCGCTGGAGTGCCCCGAGCCGGCTGGTTTCGGGGCTAAGCCACCCCATAGAGGTGGTGAAGAGGGGGGAGACTGCCAGCAGGGTTGAGAAGAGCTGCATCTCTCTTCCTCAGCTGGCCATTACTCCCTTTCCCGAAGGCGGTTGCAGCGGTGGTCAGAAATGGCCACCTCAAAGAAGAACTCGACCGGAAAAGAATGTGCAGGAGGAAGATAAGAAGTGAAAGTTCTGGCTGACCGGGTTAAACTGCAAAAGCAACAACTAAGGTACCCTGGAATTTAAACTAAAAAAAAAAAGTAACATTGTTCCCAAAGAAGATTCTGAAGCAGCGATGGAAAGTTAAAAGGGAAAGGTCTGGGTTTTTTTTTCTTCTCTCCCTTTCCCTATACTGACAGCTAAGAAACTTAAATAAGAAATCAGAAAAAAAAATCCGCTTTGACATCAACAGGCAATTAAGCTGAAAATAAAATAAAATATCAAAGGGATAATAAAGATTTCTGGACACTTAAAAGTTTTTATAACCAAGAAAGGAGAGAAAAAGAGTAAAAGGGCAGGATCTGGAAAAAAGGGAGGAGACTGCCTGGAATTAAAAGGAATTTACAGTAAAACTTCAACAAGACTTCTAAAAGATACATTTTAACTGAAACTTGGCAACTAAATAGTAGAACCCCAGGAAGAGAAAGTGAAAAAAAAAAGAAACAGCTCGCGTATATTTGGACTACTTGGTGATCTTTGGATTCTTGAGGCAGTTGAGAGGTCCTATTACCCGTGCAAAGGCTAAATTGATTAATGATATATAAAGGCAAAGATCTCTGGAATGGTAGCTTAATACTCTGACGATGTCAGCAGAGGCTGACGAAAACTTAGTAAGTACATTAAAATACACACACACACACACACACATACATAACCTTAGCAGTTAGGAAGCATGAAATGCAAGTAGATAAATAGGTACCACTTTGGTGGGAAGCTAACAGTGTTCCATGATTTCGGACAGTGCTGGCTCAATGGCCTTGACAGATGAGCAGCGCCCCCTAGAGACTGCAACAACTAGTATCTACAGGGACTCCTTTACCTTTTTCATCCTTTTTTAACGGAATAATGCATTACAATGAAAGTGGAATAATATTGCTAAAACTACTTACTCAACGTATTTGCTTGAAGAGCAAATAACACTAACTATAGATAGTCCTCAATGTATGACTGCAGTTGAGCCTGAAATTTATGTTGCTAAGTGAGAAATTGGTTGAGTTTTGT